TTGGCTTCGGTCAACGTTCTCAAGCAGACACTTAGCAACACGTTGAATGCGCCAATCACCCATAACTTTGTGCTCAACGTTTCCAAATGCAAGAGGATAAGTATCGACGCGATTGGTAAAAGAGAGGCCAATATGGACGTCATCCACGATGTCGCTCTCAAAACAGTGGTGTCGTAATATACTCTGCGCCCAAAATGTTTGTCGGCTTTCTTCAGACGCCCAATACCGCACTTGAAAAGATGAATGGCATTCTCTGATACCCAGCGAGAGAACGGGTCGGCTTGCTCGCGAGGGCAGACACCAATCAGATCGGGAGCGTGCATCTCTGAATCGTCAGGTAAGCCCCAGAACACACGGTCCTCACCTGACAGCTCGCCACCCCCCATGGCATCACTATGTAACAGGCAATACACGTCGTTCAGATCGAATCGGTCGGGCTCGGGAATCTGGTGGAGCTTGTACTGTTGTAGCAGCGCCTTGTCTTTTTAGGGAGTCAGCCAAGAGGTATATACAAGGTGTGCAGTTAGTACAGCTTCGGTTGACTTACTATACTTTCCCAGTTTCGATGAAATCTTCTCTACTAACTCCAGCTGATAAGTATCACCATCTCTGTCACTCTGCGATAGTTTGACGTAGTCTGTCGCGTACTGCCGCTTGTTGGCATCCTTGTCTTCATGGTCGTTTATTTCCACCTCTTGTAGCGTTTTCTCGAGTACAGCGAGCTCCGCCTGCATATATAACAGCATGCGCGCGTTGAGTGCAACAAACTTGCGGAAGATTAGTGTCTCGGGCTTCAGACCCATGCGTTCCGATAAGCGTGGGTACCCTATTGGATGGTTTTGCCATGACTGTGAGGAGGCCAAGCGTGTCTTCTTTGTTCGACGTAGTTTTTCGCCTGCCATCTTTGGCTGCTACATGTAGCTCGACGTAAACTTGGATTTCTGGGAGTTTCGGCTCAATTGACATCGTCCAGGCTATCAAGGCTCCTTATATAGCGATATATGGGGCTAGTCAGCACCGTTCTGTTGTGCCTCGAGGCTGTGGACATGCGCAACGTATCACGACGGCAATCATCCTATCAAGTAAGTGACCGGTCATGGTAGCGTTGCACATCGCGTCCCTGGTGGAACCTTCCACAACATCACAGGATTCATAAGACTAGGTCGTATATCTTGCCAAACACTAGTAAAGGTTCACTGCATGGGATTCAGGGACTGTCAAAGCATACACCATCAGTACGCTAAGACGTTGTTGATGCTGCGAAGCTGTCTCTTCATATTTCGAATTGACGTGGCTACATACCAACCCTAGTTAGTTTATGAAAGACATTGATGCTTATATCGCGTGAGCGATACATACTCCAAGGTCACTAAAGCAGATAACAAGCGTGTGCTAAACGACGTTGACTTCCTAAAGCGCTGTCAACTACTCGACATAGATACCATTTTCACCTTCTCATTCATGATCTCGAGTGCCTTTTGTTGGAAATTGAACTGAGCGCTTCAGAGATGACATATGAAGATTGAGTGAGAAACTTGAGACAGACACACACGACATGATTGTAGTGACAACGCCGTGGATGCTACCTTCGCGTCTAAAAGATCACGCAGACAGAGCGGTGACGACTAAAGCGCAAAGACACGTCAAGCGATCGCTGATACCCTGTCAGCTTTTCCAGCGCATGATGCAGAAGACGATCAGTAGCTTGTTGTAGCAAGCAAGGCTTTGATACACCTATATATTTCAGGTAGAGAACACTTTGAATGAGCATAACGTCTGAACGCATCAAGATGGTGAATCCTTCCTCTCACTCCAGTACTAAGTATTCACGCGAGTTGCCCTGGGTTCCTAGTAAGAATCCCACTCCTATTAGATCAAATGATTAAATACTCACTGCAGCATTAGACCCTAATCCCGCTTCGTCACAAGCTCATCAGACGATGAGTGATTTACAAAAGCTTGCAAGAGGATGGAAAAGGGGCTGGGTATGTCAGTTACTGCTGAGCAACGTAGGTGGACGCTGTCGACGTTTCAATAACTATCGGAGGAGCACCCGCGCTGGAGTGACCTGTAGGTCTTGCCAACACCAGACCGTTCCACTAGTCCTAGGTCCCAACCGTGTGCGCCATCGTCAACTCTGCGCAGAATGTGCGGACGTTGTACTTGTCCCCTTTGACGACATTGATAAGATCGGAAACCTCGAAGAACGCCACGATACTACATTCATCGGCTGGTGTTGTAGAGTCTGTGAGTATGTTCACGAGCACGATGGTACGAATTGGCCGAAAGACTGTCTACACTGTAGGCCAGCTAACTTCCGAGCACATCCACTACCAGCAAACGGGCCGGCATGGCGGTATCGTGCGAGAGATGTTCTCCACGTTCTACAACTACTATAGGATAAGATTGTAGACGCTCATGAACAATGAATTAGGAACAGAATTAGAAATGTAGGTGTCTCTAAAGCTCATATTCATCGAAGCAGAACTTTATATGTGTTACGGACCCGGATCGCCCATGAAGGATTGCTAGCTTTATGGTGTTCATCAGGTGACATTGTCAAAGACACAGCGTTCTGATTTTTCTAAACATAATAACGCAATCCTCAAAGCTGTATTGTAGCAAGGAATGATAAGAGTTAAAATAAAATGTGCACCTCTTGGCATCATTGTCACGAAGCCCGAAAAGGCACAAGCACTGGCCCTTTCTACTGTTTCGCATCTATGGCTAAGACCTGAACCGCCGCAAACCTACACCTATGTCAGTCAACGGTTTTTGTAGCTACGCGATGGTGATGTTACTCACGCAGCTGTAACAGCAAAAACATCGATCCTCCGCGCTCGAGTGAAGTACCCCAAGCAAACCGCAGTGAGCACATTGGAAGCCGCAATGACCACCAGCTGTTCGTTCAAAGACTCTTTACCCACGATCATGATAATCGGAATGACCAGCAAAGCCGAAGCAACGACACAGGTAACCCCAAAGGTGAACAAGAGGATAGTCTCATCATCGATGGCGATAGTACCCCATCTCGCGTCGACTCTCTTCCAGCGCTCACCGCCAAGCTTCACGATCCAATGCATAGCTCTTGCAGCGATATGGCGCGAGAAAGTATCCATATCCTGTCTTCCGCGGAGTACGACAAGGTCTTTGCTATAGTCCTCGGGCTTTTCTGTCGAACCCCAGGTATTGTGATCAGGCCCGATGAATACGTCGTTGTGCATTTCGTCGGCGGCGAGGAACTTTTGGATGTGATCTAGGTCGAAAGGATCGGGCTCTTTCATGGTCCGGAGTATGGTAGCTTGTTGGATGAGTGCATTGTCTGCAATATGTCAGTAAGTCACTTCCTTCCTCAGCATGGCTCGCCATACTGTGTTCCTTGAGAACGCGTCTAATCTGCAGCACAAGCTCTCGTTGCCTCATATCTCCGTCTCGGAGTTTGCCGTTCACTTCGAAATCTGCGGTGTTGAGCCAGAATGCATTCATGCTGTACGTGGCTTTCTTGCCGTCGGGGCTCTTTGCATCTTCAGCTTCTAGTTCTTTCAGCTGCTCCTCGAGATGTGCTAGTTCGTTCTGGTAGTAGAGGAGGCTGCGCGCGTTTAGGGCGCCGAATCTTCTGAACATGGCTATCTCGGGCATGATTTCCATCCGCCCGGCGAGCTTGGGGTAGCCGGGTATCAGGTCGTGGAGGGGGTCAGTTGGTGATGCAGGCGCTGGTGTGGGCTTTGAAGGGGCTGGTGTCGCGTTCATCGTGGAGATATGCGCGCTTTAATATCGCAACGGTGGGGGTCGCCAAAGATTCCAGGAGTACAAGTGCAAGATCTGCGGCGAAAGTCGATGTTGGAAGATATGCGAGGATGATTCTGCTTGTCGGTCGATCCAAGAGTTGACATGGCTGTTTGTGTAAACATGCTCGCCGTGGTTTGCAAAGATTCACGTCGCGAACATGCGCCGTTCGTCTTTGTTCACACGGAACTTGTGTATGCTACCTGGATGCGTCAACAATATGCAACACATCTCGGCTATGATTGTCCAATGTTAGACATAACAATTCTTTCGCGTGCGGAGATAGGAGAAGTACAGATGCTGTGACGCACTGTGTCGTGCGCGATGTTCAGTAACTCCTTTCTATTGAACGTCTTCTCTAGCATAGCTCAGCTAGAAACAATGTTAGTTAGTGTTGCAAGTTCTCGCGCCCTGAGTGGGGTTGCAGAAGACATAGCTTCCTTAGCCTATGATTCCGGATAGGTAGAAGAGCCCAGGCATCTACAACACCTCTTCAGCTAATACCTCATCTACCTGTACCACATTGACTACCTCCTGGCCTACAGACGTCTTGCCTATTCACTGCTGCCACACCCAACTTGAAGAGTACGTATGATTTGATAGATGCACGATCACACTCACGCACACAGACTGCTGACATGAGTCAATGTACAATAATTGGACCAACATCTCGCTTCCGAGTCCATCAGCTGGAGCAAATTTCGTATTTGGGTCAATCAAAATGTGTATGATCCTGCTAGTGTTGAGGAATACATTGGTGGAGCCTATATTAAAGTGGTCGAGTATAAGTAAGCGTGATGTACTTTAGTGGTCGGTGGAAATTCGTGGGCTCTTGTGGGAAACAGTAAGAACCTCCAGGGTAAGCTGTTATACATTGTCCGGAAACTGAAAATGTCGCAAGTACCTCCCGGACCATTGGCAAGTCCACTGCTTTTGCGTTCTCGTGTGGGATACATTGTCTTTCTTTTCCTGCCCTGCGTTGGTCGGATGTGTTCAGGGGCTAGTCGCGTGATCCAATGGGTTCATGGGCAGGCTTTTGATATGTTGGCAGTTATCAGAGCGATATTCGGATACCGGCGGCTTGTACAAGAAGGTGTATATTATATATGAAGTTATGACGATCATGTCCAATGTTAGACTGTCGTAATGCACGACCGACTCAATGACCCCATAAAACTGAGACTACCATTGACATATGCTGACGTACGACCCGTTCAGAAGATCTCTTGGTCGTCATACGCCCTCACACTCTCCAACCGTTGCCTGACCATCTTGGGGTCCTTGCAAACATGCTTGCTATCCCAGCCATCACTGCCTCCATTGTGATCAGGGAACGTCGTCTCCAATCCCTCGAGAGCCATGTCTGCGCTACACATGATAGCTTGGCGCATGTAGTCGAAGCAATGGATCATGTGCCAGTGGTGGTCTTCCTCGAGCTCGTGGCCGGATGTCATGCCGGAGTAGACGGCAACGACGGCGTAGAGGCAGTGAAGTTGGTGGGTCATTGATGTTGTGAAGACCGTGGCGTTGGGCCAGACGATGGGGGTGGGAAGGTCGTGGTAGTTTTCTGGATCGGGGATGCTTTGGAAGCCCATGCCGACTGTGGTGGTTGTTAGTGAGGTGTTCACGATAGAGTGAAGCGTGAGAAAGGCATACCAGGCAATAGCTCGTTCCATGCTCGAAGCACTTCTGGTTTGAAGAACTCTGATGTGTTGTATGGCGCGAATGTCTGGTTGATCTCGAACTTGGTGATCTGCGTAGGAACTGTATTTCGGTTAGTCGATGTACAGGACTGGTTCATACGGCAAGTCTTACTATGTGGTGACCACCCGGTGATGTCGCCGCCAACATCGTTTGCGCTTGTTGACCGAGCCTTCCATCTTGTCGAGTCGAGCATGCCTTGGTCTCTAGCCAAGAGCCCAATGATTACGAGTTGTAGTCCTATCACCAGCACCCATCGCATTGCCGCCACTAGCGGTGGGCACAGTATATTCCTTCGTGATAATGGTGCTCTTCTGTGGTAATCGCCAGCTGCCCATTGCTTCTCTCCTCCAACTAAGGATTCGACCTCTGTCGATGAGTCGTCATCATGGTGATGGTCCTGGGAATGTACATCTGCGTAATGGTGTTGTGGCTCCATCATGTCGATCGAATAGGATAAGTGACACCAGGTCAGTCGTGGAATTTGATATTAGAAACGAAAGTGAGCGCAGCTGGAGAGCCAAAGGCAGCAGCGGCCTCCGTACAGATGTACTCGCATGTCAAACGTGCCGGCCCACACCGAAACGCTGAGGCTGTCGTTCCTGGCGGCGACTACCCTCTCCACTCATTGTAGACGCCGGCGATAGCTCAGTTGGAAGTCTTAGGCGTGAGTCGAGGGCGATGAAACGGGATGTTGGAAGGGCGTATCCGTAAGCTAATCCATGCTGGGTTAAAGCGCCGAGATGAAACCGACGATGAATCGCCAAGAGTATGAGGCCATCTCGTCTTCCGCCTCAAGCGAGGATAGCCTGAAACCCAATCCAAACATCGAGCATGAACATCCGTACTTTGTTAACTGCAGCCGACGTTGGCTTTCGTCCTTTAGAACGCGCCGTCGCCACTCTGTTCGTAATTCGAGCCCCCGTGGAAGCTTGCCGAGCGTATCAGCAGCGGTGAAGATGTCGGTATGGATTCAGATGAGCCGTCTGCTTCTTTTGTGTCGAAGTACACAAATAGAGTACGTACAGGCGTTGTAAGGGACCGTCTTGTGAGCAACGAAAGCTTGAAGAGCCAGGAAACAAAAGAGATTGTGTCGGGGAGGTTGGTGAAGAGGCTGAAAACAAAAAAGGGTTGTTCTGCAATATTGGAATGTGCGGTAAGCTACTGTGGGGAGGTGAAATATGCCAGGTCGCGAATACCACACATGGAAAGCGAACCAGACGATGACTGGAACCACGGTTGTACTTCGTTCAAACTCCTGCCGCATGGTGTGACAGCTGTAGCCATGTCATGTCTTGTACGACTTCACGGTAAGTATTTACCACCGCTTTCGTCGACTGCACGGCGCTGGTGTACGACAGCATTACGGATAGCGATACCATTCACGCTGTGCTACACCTACGTGCGTGCACCCGTCGTGCTCTCTAAGAGACGTTTTAACATGATATTCCGATCTCTTACGTTTTAGAGATATGGAATGAAGGACTGCAGCGTAGTCCGTAAAAGAAGGATACTCTTATCGCATCTGCAAGTGAGTACGCAAGATACACAGCCACACGCTGCAGCAGGACACGACGCAACAGACTTCGGCAGAATATACGCAGCCTCGTAGGTATGGCTTATTCACGCATAGGTGGTCGTCGATTTTCAAAAGTGAATGTTGGTGTTCACAAATGGAGAAAGAAGAAGCGACCACGAATCGCGGTACCGGAGAGCCATGTGGACTCAACGCTTGACACATAGATCGCTTCTGATGACCCATTTCTCTCCGTTCGTTACCTCGCGGCCTTCGTGCAGCATGCAGTCGGGGCCGTGTCGATGCAGCAGCGCGAGGCCGACTTCGAGGTCAACAACGAAAGGCTCAGGTGGGGGGTCTCGGCTTTTCTTCTTAGGCGGGTCCGGGTAGAAGACAGTCTCTCCACCGATGCATCCCGTGGCCGGCGAGGTGAGGTAAATCAACAAGGTCCAGGTAGTGCGCGTCGACACAGGTGGTGATCCAGGAGCCTCAAGGGTCACACTGTTGGAATCGTCATCTGGCTCCATTAGCATAGGTTTCGTCACGACCGTCCGATGACTTGGGCAGAGTGACCAAGTAGTTATGACGTACAGTGCTGGTCGAAGAACTGGCCTTTGGAGTACCGATAGACACGGATGTTGGGATTGAGGCCCACCACCTCGCCGCCCCACAGCTCTTTCCGCTGCGCTTCAGTGAGGCCGAGCGCCCCTTCCTCCGCATCGGCGGTGACTAGCCTCCTTAGTCCTGTGTCGTTCCATAGTCGCTCAGCGAACGCAGGGTCATCGATTTGATAGCGATCGTTTACTCTCACCGCATCGCCTTTCTTCGGTTTCCCAGGCGTTGTCGTCAATGGCAACGAGGAGAGAAAAGACACATAATTCTTGCATAGCGAAGCTGTGAAGAAGTTGGGGATGGTTACAATCTGCTTTGTAAGCACTTCGTGCAGGGCAAGGTCCTCTTCTGGTACGAGAGGAGCGAGGGCAGGCCAGTTCGGGGGTTGTCTCGCTGGTTCAGATGACGCCGCCGGCCTGGCAGGCGCGCCTTGTTGGGCTTTCTTCTTGGGGGGCATATCACTGTCAAGTCCTCCAGGGCCTCAGGTGGGTGGGACTGGCAGGTAATTCACACGTATGGGTTACTTTAAGGGTCCTGCGATTGGCCTGGGTCGCGGTTCTGGGTGGAAACTTTCAGTGCTTGGCTCTTTCCCTACCAAAAAAGTGACGGCCAAATGTGCCGGAACGGGCTCACCTTTGATGACCTGATCTGAGGCTCCCGTCGTTCTTGTAGAGGTGCCCTCGCCCTTCTTGTGCACTCTGCTCTCGCCTTGCTATTGCCTGCACCGCTACCGCTACCGCCCGCTCTTGCTGCACCCAGAACGAATGTACTGACAATGGATTCACCAGGTGAGACAGCAGACGATCTGCCAATATCGCGACACTCGTCTTTCAGTTTTGAAGAATATTTCGAGGAGCTATCAATGGAACGGGCTCGAGAGTTGAGTTCATCTTTCGCATCGGCGCTGTCGGACCTTGATGCGGAGATGGGCGGCCAAGACCCACGTGCAGCAGGATTAGGCCCGGCGCAAGCCTCTCATGGGCAGCCTCGACCGACATCCTCCGAAGACACCAACCCGCTGCGACAGCACGACGCAGACCCTTTCCTTTCGGCAGACGCATTCAGCTACAGCTTTGTCGCGCCCTCCAACGATTGCTTCCCTCGTATGTATTGCGCGACACCGCGACGCGGTTTGCTGGGCGAAAAAGAAGCGCGCCGCTAACCATGTGCAGAGGACGGCATCTTTGACCTCCATTCCGTGAACTTCTTCCAGTACCCTCCCACCTACAACTACGCATTTCCCAACGAAGATGGCGGCGGCAGTATGGCCGTAGCCCCTTCCAACGAGCTTCTACACCATGTCAGCCCCCAGTATGACACCCCCGACGCCCTTGCCTCGCCTGCTCCCGACAAGCGCATTCCCGACATGGCAGCCGCGACCAGCGATGCGTCGGCCATGCCTGCCCTCGGCGGCGAGAATCCACCGGCCAACCACGACCTGATGGACAACAACCTCACCAACGGACTGCGCCTTCTCGACACCCCCATCGACTTCGCGCAGTCCAACAACCTCAGTGGCGCCGACATGAGCGGCATGCCCATGGACATGAATTCCGCCTATCCACCCATGGAGTCCTTCGGCATGATGCCGCCCACCACCACCAATGAGCGCCTCACAGCCTTTGCGCGTCTGCGCTTCGATGACGGCTCCTACTACATGCACACCTACCAGATCACCCTGGGCCGCAACCTCGATCTCGCGCATAGAGACATGAAGCGCCTCATCAAGGCCGAGGCACTACACAAGAAGGGTCACGTCAAGGCCGCCAACGAACACCTGCATGGCTTGGACGAGGTCAACGGGAAGAAGGACAAAAAGAAGAAGAAGAAAGGCGATCGGCGTGGTGCTCGCAGTGTCATCTCCGAGAAGGGTGGCATTCTCAGCGCACCCATCGAGTCGATGCCCATGGAATACCAGCAGCGTCGCCAGAGCAATGCATCGCACTCTCTCAGCTCAAATTCACACCCCACGGGCGAGTCAGGCGAGGAGAAACCTGCCGAACGCGCGCCGCAGGACATGATCATGCAGGCCTTCCCCGAAGTGCCTGCCCAGTTCGACGGCCATGTCCCCGAAGACCCGAACGACTGTCCGTTCGTACCCATACATCCACAGCAGATCATGGCCAAGACAGGCTCCCTGGGGCCCAAGGGCATATCACGAGAGCATGCCAAGATCTTCTTTGACTTCGACGCAGGCCATTTCTGCATCAAAGTGCTGGGCAACAACGGCCTGCACCACGAAGGTGAGTTCTATCCTCGGGGAGAGACTATACCTTTGGACCATGGCGATCATCTGCAGCTCGGCGCTGTGAACATACACTTCTTCCTCCCCGACGTTGCCCTCACGGAGCAGCAACGCCACCGCCAGGAGTCGGGCTCACGCCCCATGAGTTTCTCTTTTGAGAATGGAAACGGTCAACTGGAAAGCGATGAGCACATCAGCTCCGAGAGCGAAGACCAGCAGAGCGTCAACCCACGACATGTCTACTACCACCATCCTGTCAGTGACAGCGACGACGACGATGGCCTCGCTGACGAGGAAATGGACGACTACGAGGAGCCCGCTCCAAAACCCCGCCAGAAGACAAGTCTCAAGCTTAAAATCAAGAACTTGCCTCCCGCTCCTTCGAAGGAGAGCAAAAAGGCGCACAAGAGGAAGCATCAGCACCGCGAACTCACGCCTGAAGAGCCGCCAACAAAGAAAGTCAAGCTCAAAGTCAAGGATACAGCGAAGCTCAAAGAGGCGATTCGGGAGTCCGCGAAGGAGCCCAAGGTCCAGAAAGAGCGCAGAGAACCGAAGGAACCGAAGGAACCCAAAGAGAAGGAAGTGGCTGTACCTGAGGAGCCCAAGAAGCCTAAGGAACCCAAGGAGCCTAAAGAAAAGGGCAAAGCTCCAGCCAAGACCCCCGCGAAGGCACCTGTTAAATCTGAGACGCCAGTCGAGGAGCTCGTCAAGGACATTCCCGCGGCTCCAAAGCCCGAACAACCAAGCAAGCCTCCGCCGAACGATACTGCACCGGTACTACGCAAGCCACACGAAGGCGAACTTGAAGCCGGAGGAGATATCGATGGCCTTATTACAGAAGAGATGGCCATCCAGCACAACTTGCCACGAAACCTGATTGGACATGTTG